TATTTGTTAATTTATTTCTTTATATAATTTAATTAGTTATTATCTTTATAAAAAATATTGATATATTTTTTGCATTTTTATATGATATTTTCAAATTTATATTTTATTCAAAAATAAAAACATTATCGTTTTCTCAAAATCATATAAAATCGTATTATATCGACATGGATAAAAAATAAAACTAAACATTGAAATGAAAATGTGTCTCGATGCATTGCACAAGTAGCCTTCTAGTTCTCTAAAATAGAGAAAGTAGTAGAGAGAATGTAAGTTTAAGATAAGAGAGAGAAATAATTTTTTTTAAATAAAATAAACATTTTAATAATATAACAATTTTGAAAATTTCAAGATAGGAAACTTTATTGGAGTTGAATGTATATTTTTGTTTAAGAGATTTTAAAGTTTCATTCTTTATTTTGAAGAATTCGAATTTGTTGGTGATGCTTTAAGATTATATTCAACAAATTCTCTGATTAATACTAGAAGGGTACTCGCACAATGCAGCGAGATATATCTCAATTTTAATGTTCTGTGTTTTATTATTTGTCTATGTATATGTTATAGTACGATTTTATGTGTTTTTAAGAAAATAATAATGATTTTATTTTTGAATAAAATATAAATTTAAATTTTTTTATCAATGTTAATATAAAATTAACTATTTAAGAATTCTCATTTTTTATGTAATTTATTTAATTTTTTATTATAATTTAACTAGAAGGGTACTCGCGCAATGCAGCGAGATGCATCTCGATTTTAATGTTCTATTTTATTCTTTATCTCTGTCGATATTATAATACGATTTTTTATGTGTTTTTAAGAAAGCAATAATGATTTTATTTTTAGATAAAATATAATTTTGAAAATGTCATAAAAATTTGAAAATATATATCAATGTTAATATCAAATCAACTGTTTAAAAGTTCTCAATTTTTATGTAATTTCTTTAATTTATTTTGTTTTAATATAATATAATTTAAGTTCAATAACGAAATAATTTATTTTTGGTTTAATAATATAACATCTTATAAATATAATAATTAAGTATTCTGTTAGAACTCAATGATTATCCTAATTATATTTTATATTTTTTATATTT